CCTTAGCCACTTGAGCCACAGGCGCCGAGCCTTAAACAATATTTTCAACATGTTCTTTTCCTATTAAAGAACTTAAGTGGCTTTTTGTTATATATATGATTAGAATTTTCGGTTTTGCATTCAAAAGCTCTTCTCCAGAGATCATAGCTTACCTAGTTGATCATATGGCTAGCTATTCCCCACATGCAATGGCTTTTTGTTATATACATGATCAAAATTCTCAAGTCTCTCATTCAAAGGTTTTTCTCAAGTGATTGTGGCTTACTTATTTGATCATATGTCTAGCTATTCTCCAGATCTCATGAGATGTTGTAAACTTATCTCCTGGCCTTATCTTCTTGCAGGTTGCTCCTTTTGAATTGGTAATGTTGTTTTTAACATCGAAAACTTTTAAGTGCCCTTCTCTCTCTCTCTCTTTCTTAAATCATAACTGTGTACATTGATGCATTTATAAGCCCTGTTCTTTCTGTTGTCAGTTATGAATGTCTCAATTGTGTTCATTTTGGCTATAGCCAAAAGCATTTGGAAAATGTTAATTTAACAAATGAGCCAGAAAAGAAAATGAATCAGAAGTTGTCAGGAAGAAAATATAGTGGACAACTGCCTTGGTGCTGGATTTTGCTAGATAATATGTGCAATAAAATGAGGTGATTTCTGGAATTGAGAAGGGATATAGGCATTGTGTTTCTAAAGGTTAAGCCATGAACAAAAGGAGAAGAAATTAACCATATATCATTTTGTCTATGAGGGCAGAATTTAGCTCCAACTTTGAAATTGAACCTAGATTATATAAAGAGCGCTAGGGGCAAGGTTTACCTTTTAAGAGATAACCTAACCCCAAGGAGAGTGATGAATGACTTTTATCAGAAAGTCCCAAAACAAGTGCTGGCATGGATGTGGAGAGAAAGGAACATTTACACATTGTTGTTGGGACTGCAAAATAGCACAACCTCCAAGGAAAATAATATGGAGATTCCTCAGAGAACTAAAAGTAGACCTACCATTTGATCCAACAGTCTCACTGTTGGGTATTTACCCTAATGAAAAAAAAGTCATTTTTATCAAAAAGACATTTGCACTAGAATGCTTATTGCAGCACAATTCACAATGATAAGAATGTGGAATCAATTCTAGTGCCCATCAATTCGTGAGTGGATTAATAAAATGTGGTATGTGTGTACCATGAAATTGTACTCAGTCATAAAAAAAAGAATTAATATCTTTTGCAACAATCTGGATAGAACTGGAGACCATTCTCAGCGAAGTTTCCCAAGAATAGAATAATGAACACCACATGTATTCACTATTAAATTGGAACTAAGTAATCAGGGCTTATGTGCACAGATTAAGGTAAAACTCAGTGGAAATCAAGAGAGTGGGGGTGGAGGAGATGGGTGAAATTTAACAAGTACAATGTATATTATCTGGGTAATGAATACACTTACAGCTTTTATTCCAGCAACAGAAAAGCAACTCAAGTACCCAAAACATTTGTACCCCCATGATACCATGATACTCTGGGGTTTTTTTTTTTTTTTTGAGACAAGGGTCCTACTGTGTCATCCTTGATAGTGTGCCATGGCACCACAGCTCACAGAAACTGCAAACTCTTGGGCTCAAATGATTCTCTTGCCTCAGCCTCCCAAGTAGCTGTGACCACAGGCACCTGCCACAACGCCTGGCTATTTTTTTGTTGTTGTTGCAATTGTCATTGTTGCTTAGTTGGCCTGGGCTGGGTTTAACCCTTCCACCCTCTGTGTACCGTGTTTCTCAGAAAATAAGACACTGCCTTATATTTATTTTTTCTCAAGAAGACACACTAGGGCTTATTTTCAGGGGATGTCTTATTTCTATTAAGTATAATACAACAATCTACATTTATTCAAATACAGTTAAGTCATCTTCTTTTGGAACCTGACAGGGGGAGCCGACCTTGTTGGTGAGTGGGGTTGGCGTTAGTGATGCATGAACTCTTTTCCTCTAGCCGTTGGCACGTGCGCAATAGGATGCCTACCACCACAGTTACCACATGCGCACCCACGCAAGTGCGAACGGCCCAGAGAAAGGAGCTATGGCAATAAAAGGTATTCCAGTCTTCCTTACTGCTCCGCGCCGAAATGCAGGGCGTAGCTATACAGATACGCTGCACAGCCACTCCTATCACTAGGTCTTATTATCTGGGTAGGGCTTATATTTAACAAATGCATAGAAATTCTGCTAGGGCTTATTTTGGGGGTAGGTCTTATTTTGAGGGAAACACAGTATGTGGCTGGCACCAGAACCACTTTGCTATGGGCACTGAGCTGATACTGTGATATTCTGAAATAAAAAGGAAAAAAATTAAAACAAAAAAGATCATAGGTATAGATCTGGGGGAAGAGTTGGTGATACCCAGCTCAGTGATATTAGGAGATAGCTAGGTAGTCTAACCTGGATAATAAAATACATAGTTTTTTTAATCAATTAAAGGCTGAGAGCATACTTAAAATTTGGGAACCAGTACCTGTATAGTTTGTATCCAGACATTTTTTATGTGAAAGTAAAATAGATAACAAGTATTCTAAGGGCCTATAGTTCAACAAGTTCTATCCTGGACTACAGTGTTAACAAAGAGAAAAAAATTAATTTTGGCCTTCAAGAAGTTCAAAGCCAGGTGGGGAAGGCAAACCATGTGTGAATAAATACGTTAATTGCAATAGGAAGATGTGTACAAAGTGCAAGGTAATTTAAATTAGGAAGCAGTGAATTATGCTTTGAGAAAAATCAAAGGGAGGGCATGGGTACTTTGTATAATTTGAATGAATTACCGCTGCAAAAAAGTGGAACCAGAAAGAAGTGCCTCTTCTTCTTTGAGTGTTCCTAGTGGAATAAAAGAATGAGGGACTATACTGAGCTCACGAAGTCATTGTCTAGAGGAAGAAAATTATTTTGCTTTAATTCTCCAGATGGAGATGCCCAAAATGATCCTAAGAGTTTTGGAGTATCCCTTACATTACTATCAGTTGATCAAAAATTTATACCATTCTGAGGCTTAAGATTAAACAAAAAGCCCTTGCTGACTAACCTGGTCTCAGTCTTTCTCTTATTTTAAATTTTCTATCATTTATAACATGGTATTTTTGTATTTCTTTAAGATACCATTTTAGAAATGTATAATTAAAAAAAAATGTTTCACGTGAACTTTGCTTAATTAGAATGTCAAAAATTTGAGGGCTTTTAGAGATTTCACACAGTGCTGGACATCCAGTACGAACTTGATAAATTCTTGTTGAACAAGAACTTCCCAATATTCTCTTGGATGCTGCGTTAGTTTGCTTTCACTGTGGCAACAGACAACTCCCAAATCCGTGTGGCTTACCACAGCAAATATTTCTTTCTCACTAGCATCTGCAGGTCACTATGCTCAGCTGGCTCAGCTGAGCTTGATAATGGTTTATTCCAGTCAGAGGTCTATTCATTTTGAAATGCAGTTTGAAGGATAAGTGTGTCCTTGAAGCATGATCTTTTCTTGGTGAAGGACCAGAGCACAGGAAGGTTAATAGCAACACTTCTTAAAAGCACTTTGTGGAACTATTCCAGATATCATTAGTCAAAGCAAGGCACGTGGCAAGGCACACACCCCAAATTAGAAGAGTGGGAAAGTATCTTTGGCATGAGATGGAGTATGGGAAAGTGGATGTTTATTAAACAATAATATGCACCAATACAGATATTTCTAATGTAAAACAAAATATAAAGGAGTTTTTTCTTTAGTTAAGTTTTAAGTATGGAATGAAAGAATCTGGTGGGGAAGAGGGCATCCAAGGACCTGGGAGTGAAAGATTTAATAAAAACTTCAGAGCAATGCCATCATTATAAGATAGGGGCAGACTAGTTAGAATAAAAAGCTAGAAATCCAGGCGGTGCCTATGGCTCAAGGAATAGGGTGCCGGCCCTGTATACCAAGGGTGGTGGGTTTATACCAGGCCCCGGCCAAAAACTGCAAAAAAAAAAAAAAAAAGCTAGAAGTCCGAAGTTAGTCCACTCTAGGTTCAAATTCAATTCTGTGTCCTAGCTGTGTATTCTCAAGCAAGTTACAATGTAGGTGCCGGTATCAGTTGTTTGCTTTCTAACACTAACTTTATCTTTTATTGTCCTGTTTGTGATGGTGGAAATGTTTTCCTTGCCAGTTATTGTTAAACTTTGTCAATAAGGGGACTAGAGGGTCACTGGAGAAGGAGGGACGTTTCTTCCTGATCCTCTTTGCTGTTTACTCCTGTGGCATGCAGGGCGCTCATGGCATCAATCTCTAAGAGGTTTTAGCAGCAACACTCCCACATGCACTTTCTCAATGAATTACACACTTTGGCATATCTTCGTGGGTGGCTTCCCCAGTACCCAAAGGTCACCTTCCCAACAAGTTCCACTGGCATGAGCATTCCCGGTAGGTGACTTGCTCTGGCATCACAGAGAGTAGCTTTCTAGTGAGTTTTGCTGCTGTGGCTCTTTAGCAAATGTCTCAAACATGCAGGGCTATGTTGAGTCTCCCCAAGGTCTACATCTCAGCCCTGGTGGAAGTGAACCTTTTATAGATGTGGTCTTTTCTTGGCATTCTGTGTCAGTTCTAGAAGTAGTAGCTGCTCCCTGTGTCTTGCTTTCTCTTTACCCTTGAGTAGTTAATATGTTGTAATTAATAATGTTTTATATTAAACATTTCCTATTCAAATTACCATGTGGTTTCTGTCTTCTAATTGTATTTTGATATATTGGGTTAATAAGAAGTGCTTTTCTCACAAGATTGTTCTGAGGATTAAATGGGATAATGCATGCAAAATGTTTAGAATAATATCTGCCATAAAATAACTACCTAGTGTTTGTTGGTGATGCTGATACCATCATCATCCTCACTGTTACTATCACTAACTAGGAGTGATGTTTCTACTCTTTGTCCACAGGATGTTTCGTCTTAACTCACTTTCTGCGTTGGCAGAACTAGCTGTGGGCTCTCGATGGTACCATGGGGGATCACACCCCACACAGACGAGGCGAAGACTAATGATGGTGGCCTTCCTGGGAGCATCTGCAGTAACTGCAAGTACTGGTCTTCTGTGGAAGAGGTGAGTGTTGTCTGACCATTTCCTTCCTGTATGTATTTTATTCCTCTGGTTATCTCTGTTATCAGAAAGGAGTTAGTTTCTGGCTTAACTTCGTGTCACACTTTCTTTCAGTGCCCAAATCGTTTGGCACTGATAATATTTGTCTATAAAATAAGATGTCCCAGAGAATTCAGCTATCATGCCAAGGCAATAAATAAGAACTATTGCGCCTCAACGTCCACCTGTCTCCTCTGCTGAACATTTTTAATAATAGTGTAGGGATGGCAATAGTAGCTTTAGAAAATGAATGCTTATCTGAGACTTCAAAATTTGGTGACCATATGAAATTAACTAATGAGCCTTAATGCTCTTGTGTCACCTGATAATTTTGCCAGTTTTTGAAACTTGCCTGGAGGGAAGAAAAAATATAGTGAACCACAGTCTTTTCTTTCTTAAAAAATATAGGTACCTTTTTTTTTTTCTGATTCTGTCATTCTCTCTGTTTTTTTTACCTTAAACTTGGTTAATACTGTCTTATAGTTATTGTCATTATTTTTGGCTTTTTCAAAAATACGACTTTTAAAAAAAAGTACTTACTGGGTTTTTTTGCTTTTTTTTTAATCAAGTTATAAACTTCTATCATAAATTAAAAATGAAGTTCTTAAAAATGCCAACATGACAAGACATGAAACAATTTAGAAACCTCTATTGAGAAAAAAACAGGTTCTTAAAGAAAATACATTTGGTTATTGCCTTAAAAAGACATCTTTTGGTAAAAATCATGATAACCCCATGCTGCATAGATAATGCAGATACTGCTAGTTATTAGGTCAACAGACAAAAAGCAAGCAGGCAAGATCTTTAGCTCCAAACTTGTGTTCATTTCTTATTGCAGGAATTTCATATTCATTTCTTGTTGAATAACTAAACCAGATGGTGGCAGAAATGGTAAGCTGGCATTTACTCAGCCTGGACCTGCTCCGCCTAGAGAGTGGAGGAATTCTCATCTAGTGGATTGGCTGTTTCTGTCTCTTTGCTATCTTGTGGCTTAGGGTTTTCTGGGCCTGTGCACAGGTAATTTAAGTTGCAGTGGTGCCAATGTTAAGGTAGCTGCTGACTTTGGTTCTCATCTCCTTGATTTTCTTTATCCTCTTCATTGTCATCCTCTATAGGCTGTCTTTGGCAAATAGGGCCCCTGTGGAGTCATGGTTTTTAGCCCTGATATCTATTCTGTCCTGCTGCTGTGTACCTGTAACTCTAGCTACTCTGAAGGCTAAGACCAGAGGATCCTTTGAGCCTAAGAGTTCAAGGTTATGGCGAGCTATGATCATGCCACTGTACCTAGCCTAGGCAATAGAGCAAGACCCTGTCTCTTAACAACAACAAAAAAGGTCCTTATGATCCTTTGATATAGAGGCTGAATTAGAAATGCTGCATTTGGGGGCAAGTAGACCACTTCTGTCTCTTTGGTGTTGAACTTATGGAATTCTGAGTGGCCAAAGACACTATCCAATATCAAAATAATTTTAGAAGGCAGTCCCTTACTGACAAGGTACTTCCTGACTTCAGGGACAAAGTATTGATGAAACCAAAAGTGTTCTTCTTTTTATACAATAAGAACACTGGCAGCTGGCATTTATATTTTTCCTTCAAGGCTCTAGGGTTAGCAGCTTTATAGATAAGGGCAGTCCTGATCATAAACCTGACTGCATTTGTACAAAATAGTAGAATTAGTTTGTCCCTTCCTGTCTTAAATCCTGGTCCTTGCTTCTCTCCCTTACTAATAATTATCCTTTGTGACAATTTTTTCCCCCTAGAATAGGGCACTTCTGCCTGCATAAAAGTCCTATTTGGGCAGATATCCTTTCTCCTTGATGATTTTCTTAATAGTATCTGGAAACTTATCTGCTTCCTCTGCTATCTTGACATTTTTTGAGCCAAATTTCTTTCTAAAACTATCAAACTGGATAGTGGCTAAGGCGCCAGCCACATACACCTAAGGTGGTGGGTTCGAATCCAGCCCGGGCCACCAAACAACAATGACGGCTGCAACCAAAAAATAGCTGGGTGTTGTGGTAGGTACCTGTGGTCCCAGCTACTTGGGAGGCTGAGGCAGAAAACTTACTCAAGCCCAGGAGTTGGAGGTTGCTGTGAGCTGTGATGCCACGGCACTCTACCCAGGGAAATAGCTTGAGCCTCTGTCTCAAAAAAAATAAAAATAATAATAAAATAAATAAAAATAAATAAATAAAACTATCAAACCATCCTTTCCAGGCATTAAATTCTCCAGCTTCAGATCCTTCACCTTCCTTTTGCTTGTCAGATAATAACTTCATTTGTTCTCAAATCATATTAGAGTCTACAGGTATACCTTTCTTATACCAATCCTGCACCCACATAAAAGCTGCATTTTCAATACAACTAAAGCATCTTTCACATAAAGCATAATGTTTCTCACCTGCTGGCATTGCTGGCACCTAGTATTTTGGATGTTGCATATTATACAGTCTCTGTCACTGCTGCTTTTGTGGTGCAGAAGCTGGCACAGATAATATGCAAATGAAGGAGCATGGCTATGTTCTGTTAAAACTTTATGGAGACTGAAATTTGAATTCTATATGATTTTCATGTCCCATAAAATATTATTATTCTTTTGATTCTTTCCAACCATTTAAAACTGTAGAAATCATTCTTAGCTCAAGGGCTATACTAAAACTGGTGGGACACTAGATTTGACCCTCGGCCAATATTTATCAACCTCTGTTCTAGAATTTATAGCAGGAATCTTGAATCTACCATAATCTACATTCGAATAATACTTTCCATATGTGTAAGAACTTTACAATAGTATACTTTTATTTTCCTGCTATTCTTTGTGCTTTTGTGCTTTTCATATCTACATATGCTATAAACTTCATAATACGCACTATACCCCATGATTGCATTAATGTACACAGCTATGATTTAATAAAAAATCTTTTAAAAAAATAAAAACCTCATAATATGTTATTGTTGTTATTTTTGCTTTAAACAGTTGGCTGTTTTTTAAAGAAATTCTAAAAAGAGAAAAAAGATTGTTATATTTATGCATACATTTACCATTTCTGGTACTCTTCATTCCTTTGTATTAGTCCAAGTTTCTATCATATTTCTAGGAGTGCTGGAGATGGATTCTGTTTCCTTTTGTCTGAAAATATCTTTATTTTGCCTTTTATTTTGAAGGATTTCCCCCCACTGACTTTTTTTTTAAGTACAGTACACTATTCAATTGTCTTTAGCTCTCCCTGCCCCAGTGTGGTATCCTCATTATATTCAAGTATACTTTAAAAAATTGTGTTAAAATTTACATAACATAGCATTTAATCGTGTTCAAGTTTAGTGCCATTAAACATTTGGTACAGCCATTAATACCATCCATCTTCAGAACTTTTTCATCTTTTCAAACTGAAACTATGTACTATGTAAAACTATGTAAACAATAACTCCTCGTTCCCCTCTCTATCTCCTGGTAATTTGCTTTCTATTTCTGTGAATTTGACTATTCTAGGTGCCTACATAGGAAGAATTATACAGAATTTGTCCTTTTCAGTCTGGCTTATTTAACCTGGTGTAATGTTTTTAAGGTTCTTTAAGAATTTCATTCATTTTTAAGGCTGAATCATTCCATTGTATGCTTATACCACATTTTGCTTATCCATTCATCTGTTGACAAACACTTAGGTTGTTTTCTCCTTTTGGCAATTGTTTGTTTTGTTTGTTTGAGACAGAGTCTCACTGTCATCCTGGGTAGAGTGCTATGGTGTCATCATAGCTTACAGCAATCTCAAACTCTCAGGTTCAAGTGATTCTCTTGCCTCAGCCTCCTGAGTAGCTGGGACTACTGGCGCCTGCCACAACACGCAGCTAGTTTTCCTATTTTTAGTAGAGAGAGGGTTCTCATTCTTGCTCAGGGTAGTTTTGAACTCCTGAGCTCAAGTAGTCCACCCACTTTGGCCTCCCAGAGTGCTAGAATTGCAGGTGTGAGCCACTGTACCTGGCCACCTTTTGGCAATTGTTAATAACAATGCTATGAATGTTGATGCACAAATAACTCTTTGAGTCTCTACTATCACTGCTGGATTATATCTTCAGCTTTCTTATGAAAAGTCAATGGTAATTCTTATTTTTGTTTTTCTGTATGAACTAAGATTTGACTTTTATGGCTTTTGTTTATCATTCATTTTCAACAATTTGGTTATGATGTATTTTGGTACAGTTTGTGTTTATATAGTTTTTATTGATTTTCTTAAAGCTATTGAAGTTTTCATGAAATTTGAACAATTTTGCCCATTATTTCATTAAGGTATTCTATCCTCCCCTCCTCCCCATATATCCTTAAACTTCACTTATATGCTAGACCATCTAGGATTGTCCCACATGTCACCACGGTTCTACTTATATTTTATTCAGCCTTTTTCTCTCTGTGTTTCATTTCAGTAGTTCTTGTAGCTGTGTTTTCCAGGACACTCAACTTTTTTTTTTGCAGTACCTTATTTGTGAAGCCCATCCAGTGTCACCCCCCACGCACCTCCCCACGTCCCCCCCAACCCCAGAAGTCTCAGTTGGGCTATTCTCCTTCAGTGTTGAGCTGTGCCCATTTGGAGGAGTAGTTAATGTGGCCAAAGTAAAATTGTTTTTCTTACTCTTTTCAATATGAAAGTTTTTACCTATGTGCTTTGCCTGGAGTACTGTGACTTCTTAACTGGATTCTAGAAGTCTTATAAAGGTATTTTGGTCCTTACCTCTCTGCTAAATTTGTTGTTTCTGTGGGGGAACAAGTGCTAGAATCATCTTGCTGGTATCTCATAATTTTTATGTTGGACTTTTTACATTGTGTATGTTATATCTTTTGACATTTGGATTTTGTGATTTTCTTTTACAAGTGTTAATTATTCTCTTGGCAGGCAGCTAATTTACTGGAGTACCTGCTTGATCTTTAAAGCTTGTTTTAAAGCCTTTCTTTTTTTCCTTTCTTCTCTGTTTTCTTTCTTTTAGAATAGTCTAGAGTACCCTTTGCTCCAAGGCTAATTTAGCTCTATTAATATAGCAGGATCCTCTGGGGAGTTACTAATGTAGTAGGTGTCCAGTGAGATTACTGTACTCTGACTTGCCAGAACTAGAACATTTCCTGCCTGTGAACTTTGGAAATTAGCTGGCCTACAGCTCCTTGGTAATTGTCTTGAGTAGTTTCCTCCTGGGAATGCACTGTTTCCTGTTAACTCAGTACTCAAGGGCACTCCATGTAGATTCTTGGAGCTCTTTCTCTTTGTGACGTCTCCCTCTTGAGCCATCTGTCTAACCAATTCCACATACTTCTGATTCTCTAAATTTAGATCTTTGTCACCTCAGTGTACCCCTGTTTGTGGTCTGGAAAATGTCTCCAGACAGAAATTTTAGGCAATTATAGGCTACACTTTTCTTAGAGAGTTATTTCTATTGTGCAGTGTCTGAAAATAATTGCTTGATATATTTTATTCAGTCTTCTGTATTTTTCCCTCTGTGAGAAATCAAATCCAGTACAGTTACTCAACTGTGGCTGGAAGCAAAAATCTTTTTTTTTTGCAGTTTTTGGCCGGGGCTGGGTTTGAACCTGCAACCTCTGGCATATGAGGCTGGTGTCCTACTCCTTTGAGCCAATACTATACATCATTGTATTTCATCAATGCTGTAACCTTTAACTATTTTAATATTACATCATTGTAGTAATGGCTTAAATTATCAGGAATAATTTGGGGGTAAAAATGAGGTAACTCTTAATATGCATGCGTCTTCTAAGGAGGGAAGAGTTGTATGGATGTAATAGAGTGCTGCTGTCTCTTGAGCATTCAGCATGTCATGGACATTAGCCTGTAGGTTTTTTTTAAGAAAAGATTATGACTGCTGGTTAATTATTGAACTGATTAAAGGCAAAGGAATTTGTTTTATATGATATGATTTTGAATAGCTAAAGTTTTCCTTTAATAACACTGTAGGATGTTTAGAAGGTAGGTCATGGATCACCCTTTCCAATAAGTTTTTTCTTACCTATTGTTTTATTGGTTTACTTGTCTGTTTTTCCTACCAAGTGTGAACTTCTTGAGGATAGGGAACATCTTTAGCAACTAGTGTAGCTGTTTCTATGCCTTTGTGGACAAGTAGCTTGGGTTTAGCAGCCCATCATTTTTTAGTTACAGGAGGCTCTTCAGAGGAAAATAAAGCAGTGTGATGTGATCTACTGCATCACTTGGTCAAAGTTGAAAAGAAACTTGAACTGAGGTCAATAGGTTGTTTTTGAATCATAGTTGAAAGAAGCTTAAGTCAATGTGGTAGTTTCTTGTTGCTTCTTTTTTTTTTTTTTTTTTTTTTGAGACAGAGTCTCACTTTGTCAACCTCGGTAGAGTGCGATGGTGTCATAGCTACAGCAACCTCCAACTCTTGGGCTCACATGATTCTCTTCCTTCAGCCTCCCCAGTAATTGGAACTACAGGTGCCTGCCACAATGCCTGACTATTTTTAGAGATGAGGGTCTTGCTCTTGCTCAGGCTGGTCTTGAACGTGTGAGCTCAGGGCAATCCACCAACCTTGGGCTCCTAGAGTGCTGGGATTACTGCGCCCAGCATCTTGTTGCTTCTTAAAAATTTGTTTATTTTTAGACTTTAGGTTTTAAAAATCAATGATTGTGTTTGCTTATAAATTCAAATATTTGCAAATAAGTAAAATTAAAACTATTGATTTCAATCTTCTCTAAATAACCATGTAAAATGAATACATTAAGAATTACTTTATATTATAGTACCTCCCAGTATAATTTTTTTCAGCCCCCTTTCTTGCTTGCTTAGCCAAGGACTTCTATTGGTGTGTTCCTTAATTGCAGAAACAGTGTATACTTTTTTGGTGTAAAGCACTGGGTTAGGCACTTGGATACTTAAAAGAAAAATAATACAGTGTCTAGCCTCTCGTTAATGACAGTGTCCTTTGATTCTACCTAATAGTTGAAGAACTAGTACATTTGAAAAAAAAACACACTTAACCTTATAGAACATTAAATTATATGTTATAGTTAAGACACTAAATGGTGTAAGAGTTTGAAGGAATGGAGACATTGCCTTGGCTGAGGATGTTGGAAAAATCATCATAGACCAGATAGGCAGTTTTAATCTCTAATCAACAAGAGGAGCTTCTGTGGAACGTTTGGTTTTTGTTTGCTGTTGATAATTGAATGAACCTGGATTGTATAACAGATTAGTTGTCTTCATGTAGATTTAGTTTTTATTCGAATACTTGTTTTTTATTCTTTTGGACCCCTATTTTTTAATTAGGTACTTTTTATTGTGGTAAAAGACATGTAACACAAAATTTACCATATTAACCATTTTAAACTATAAAGTTCAGTAGCATGAGGCTGGGTGTGGTGCCTCTCACTTGTAATTTTAGCACTCTTAGAGTTGGGTTGCTTGAGCTCAGAGTTTGAGACCAGCCTAAGCAACAGTGAGACCCCATCTCTAAAAATAGCTGAACATTGTGGTGGATACCTGTAGTCCCAGCTACTTGGGAGGGTGAGGCAAGAGAATTGCTCAAGCCTTGAGAGTTTGAGGTTGCTATAAGCTATAATGCCATGGCACTCGAATCTACCCAGGGTGACAGAGTAAGACTCTATCTCAATAAAATAAAATAAAATTCAGTAGTATTAAGTATAATTACACCATTGTGAAACAGATAGCCAGAACTTTTTCATCTTGCAGAACTGAAACTCTGTGCCCATTCAGAAACAACTTCCTTGTTTCCACTTCCCTTCTGGTAACCACCATTCTTCTTTCTGTTTCTTTCTTTTTTTTTTTTTTTTTT